CGAAGGAGAGGCGATTCGCCGGCCCCGTACGTTACACACACCGTGTGTGCCGTGACTCGCGACAAACGCACGTGATCGCGAGAGGGCACCGAGAGGGTTCCTCTCTCTTGCAAAGCTCATCCATCCATCTATCTATCTATCCATCCATCCATCCATCCATCCATCCATCCATCCATCCTCTCTTCCTCCAAAGCAAACGGATCCTTTTCTGATCGACGATGGATTGATTATCTCGCGCGTGTTTATTCTTCTCCTTCTTATTCTTATTCTTATTCTTCTTCTTCTCTTTCTATCTTTCACAGTTTTTGTGAAGTTTTTATTTTATGCACACGCGACGCGATGAGATCGTACAGTGATCGAAGACGTTCCTCAAACTTTGAAGATTTAACAAGTTCGTTATTCGTTGCGTGCCAATCATGTTAAAGGATATTATTACGATATTTTTATAGTGACGTAAAAAAAAGAGAATTTATAAAAGGTAAACACAGAGAGAGAGAGAGAGAGAGAGAGAGAGAGAGAGGGAGGGAGAGAGAGAAAGAAAGAAAGAAATAGAAAAAAACAGTTAAAGGAAGATAATAAATATATATATATATATATGATATAATATAAGAAACATATATAAATATAGACGAAGAGGTAGAGTGTTTAGTAGTGGCGCAGGTGTGAATGAAGCTTTAAGCGGAACCAGTCACGCTTCGCGATTCTCGAGCGCGCTCCTCCTCATCGTCCTCGTCGTCCTCGTCCTCTCTCTCTCTCTTTCTGTTCTGTTCTGTTCTGTTCTGTTCTGTTCGCGAACAAACCGTGCACCATCGTGGTGGCATCGTCCTGTTATCCTGCCGAGCCTAAGGACTTGCGCGCGCGCAAGTCCTCGCTCAACGCGAGATCGGAAGATCGCTAGCTGGCTGGTCTGGTCTACGTTCTTTGGATGCAAGGAGAATTAACGGTGACATCTACGACAGGTAAATCTTTTTTCCACCCTCCCCCTCCCCCCAAAAAAAAACAATCAATCAAAAAAGAAAAACACATTCTCTTATTTTACTATTTCATCTATCGTATCTTTTTCCTAAACCTTCCTACTCCCCCCCCCCTCCCTCCCTCTGTACCCTACCTTCCTTCTCTTATATTACTCTTTCACGAGTCCTCACCTATACCAATCGCGAATCGACGTGTTTGTTCTTAGGTCATTCTCCCGTATAAGTTAAGAGAGTTCGTTGCGCTCTCCTTCTTCTTCTTCTTCTTCGCGTTTGACGCGTTAGAAATCTCGATTCTATTTCTAAATGTAGTAGGGAGGAGGAAGAGGAGGAGGAGGAGGAGGAGGAGGAGGAGGTAGGGGACGGGGGGAGGAGGAGGAGGAGGATTATTGAACGAACGAATGATTATCGATCGATCGAACGATCGTGCTTGGCATCGTGATTCTTCCGAAAAGTGAGTTACATCGATGGTCTACGACGATTACGATGATGGGTCATTGATACCAAACAAGATTCGTGATAATTACGAGGAACATTTTGTGATTACTTATTTCCTATCTATGTACGTTTGAAGTATAATAATCATTTTTAACGTGTGTTGTTTTTATTTTATTTTATTTTGATGAAATTAACTCTACGCATAATATTACTTTCATAACAGTAATTCTTTTGATAAAAAGAGAAAGAGAAAGAGAAAGAGAAAGAGAAAAGCACGTGGTTGGTTGTGTATGTGTTAGAAGTATTATCGATCCTATTTATCATCGGAGAAGCTAACGTTCTTAGTCACGAACCCAGGAAACGGACGGTAGGCTTCGATTTTGATAACCGGAGGGGCAAGGTGAACGCACTGAGTTGTGACGCGGATGGAACGCGGAAACCGGGCACGGGCACACAGGCGTTGTGCGAGACAAATGACCATCGTCTGCCAAGCCGCGAAAGACCCGCTTGGATGATGATGATGATCCTCTCTTTAAAAGCGTTCTCTTACGATTTTAAACTAACTTGCCCAACTTAACCAAATTTTCTTCGATATTATACGTTACCACATTTTATCATCTACTGGAGTGTTTTTATTCTTGTTGTTGTTGTTGTTTTTGTTCTTCTTCTTCTTCTTCTTCTTCTTCTTCTTCTTCTTCGTACTCACCAAGCTCTGTTAGGTTTTATACTTTCGTATTTTCACTGTCGGACCAAACGGTGAGTAAGAAAAGGCCTGTTCGAATAAATCATCGTTTCATCGTCACGGTCCATCGTATTTACTAGATACAATACGATTCCTTTCAGATATAAAATCAATTTTCATCTTGTCACTTCTCCTATATAAAAATCATTTCGATTCACGACGACCACCATCGTCTGTCTGTCTGTCTGTCTGTCGTGTATCCCTTATCCGTTTTCACAATCATCCATTTACTTCAGTACTCGTGATAAATCTTACGAGGAAAAACAAAATCTTTCCTATAAATATATCAAGTAAACAAGATAAATTACAAATTCATCTAATTCATCAGATAACATTTAAATGTCAACCGTTACTTTCGTTAAAGAATGAATCACATTGAAGAGTAGTATCGTTAGAAAATTAAGAAGAGGGTTAAAACGAATTAAGAGAGAGAGAGAGAGTTGTAAAAAAAAGGGGACTTACGAGTGGTGAGAAAAAGGGGCACCGCAAACGAAAAGAAAGAAAGAAAGAAAGAGAGAGAGAGAGAGAATTAGTGTGTCGGTGAGGGATTCGAAGAGGTGGAAAGAAGTACAGGTGAGAGGGAGAGGAGGACAAAGAAGGAGGTGGATAGGGAGAACAGCAGGGAGGGAGGTTTGAGAGAAGGGGTGGCGTAAATGTTGGCGAAGGGAGGGGCTGCGAGTCTTGAGGAAGGAGGGACGAGCCAAGAGGAAGTCAACGTCCGAAGATTACGGCAATGACATTCGCTTTTTCTCATTCTCCTGTTCGTCTTTCTCTCGCGTTTCTTCCTCCGTCCAATCTCTTTCTTTAACATTCATCCTCTTTTAAAGTTCTTCTCTCTCTCTCTCTCTCTCTCTCTCTCTCTCTCTCTGTTTCTTTGTATATATATATTTTTGTCTTTCTTTCGTTTCTTCTTCTCGTTAAAAGACGTTCTCTCCTTATTCAACCAATTCGTTCGAAATTTTAGTTAAACCAATGATTCTCGCGTTAAGTTTTCTTTTCTAATTTGTGACAGATCATGTTCTTCTTCCTTTATCACGTCTAATCACTTTCAAGATCACCTTCCTATCCAATTTTCTTTACCTTTGTTACGTTAAAACATACATATATATATACATACACATATACACTGGTTCCGCGTTCTCTGACGGTGGGGTTACAAGGATTTGTTGGAATCTGATAAACTATACGATAGTTTGCTTTTGTTTTGTTTTTTTAACAGTATCAATCAAATTGTTGAAAATTAACATGCAGTAGAGTCCCATTTTTATGTTGAAAATAAGAAGAGTTAATAAGAATACAATGGGGTGGTTGGAATTTGAGATGGTTGGTACAAATAAGGTTGGAGATATTTTATGATACTAATTAAGAGAAACGATAAGGAAGAATCAACGATGATCACCTGGGTGGCACAATATTCTTCTTCCTCGAATTATTATTATTATTTTAAGAAAGGGGTCTATAAACATTTCTTTTTTGTTGTTGTTGTTGTTGTTGTTGTATCATTTTCTTGTGTATATAAAAATGAACGCGTACGTTGTTTGTTCAAAGTGTTCATTACGAAAATTAGAAAGAAGAAACGAATATCGAATGAAGTTTAATACAAGTTAAAAGATACATCAATTTGAATACACATTTTCTTTCTTTCTTTTTTTTTTTTTCTAACACCCTCACGTTTTCTTTTTTACCTCTCAAACATCCCCTTCTATCCTTCCTAACCTCCCTTTACCACAAAACTACTCGCCCGTTTGATTATTATTATTATTATTATTATTATTAATCATTTATCAAATTATAAAGTTGTTCTCGTTTGTTGCAAAATTGATTTGACTTTATTTTTTCGCGAATCGATTCACAATTTTAATTCGTCCTTTAGTTTTCTGATTTTCTTTTCGTTTTGATTTTACTTTTCAGCGAGAATGGTGGATCGCACGCAATGGCGGCACCGGCAGTCGACAGATGAAACTCGACGAAAAAGGCCGCAATACTTGCGTTACAAGAAAAGATTTCTCTCGGAAGAGAGTAACGAAGAGTGAAGGGTGGGAAAGAAGTGTATGTTTGTGTGAGAGAGAGAGAAAGAGAGAGAGATAAATATATATATATAGATAGATAGAGAGAATAAGAGAGAAAGATAGGTGGTGGTTTTTAAGAAGTGGAAGGAGAAGAAACGGAAGGAGAAGGAAACTAAACGCGAACGGGCTATTACACACAGAAGCGATCGTTTCCGATCTCGAAAATAATGGGTTGAACCCTCGCGTCGTTAAATTCGCAAGAGAAGAAAAAAAAAGAGTAAAGAAAGAGAAAGAGTGAGAGAGAGAGAGAGAGAGAGAGAAAACTAGAGGCTCGTTTATCGACCAAGAGGATGATGATCGCGACAAAATGGTCCCGAACGAAGACGATCCCGAACGTCGTAAAAAACGTCCCTAGCAACCTCGTTTTATGGATCTATGCGATATAAAAATACAGAAAAACAAAAAATAACAAACAAACAAACAAACAAATACATATCTATAATACATATACATATATAATATATATCTATATACATAGATTTATACGTTGTGTTAATAATTGCATATAGAAAGGTGCAAAATAGCGTACACAATTTTTATGGACATTATTGAGAGGATCATAGAGAAAAGAATTTCTCAAATCAACCCAACCCCTCTCCAAAACCACCCCCCATACCTGGAAAATCGTTTTCGTATTTTTAAATGTGATGTGTTTTGGTGGTGTCAAAGTGGTGGATTGTTTTTGTTCGTTCGTTCGTTCGTTCGTTCATTCGTTCTCGTTTTTTCTGTTTTTGTTTTTGATTTTCTTTTTGAAAGAAAAATTAAAAATTACACACAACTGGGATAGTATAAAAATAAATAAATAAATAAACAGAAGGATTATTACAGGAAATAAAATATTTGTACATTTGGAAATTATGCACTCGTCGTACGTACGTGTAATTCACCGTTAACAGAGAAAACGATTTCTTATTTGTTTCGTTCATTTTGAAGTAATTTGTGCACGGTCGACTTCCTCTTTCATAAAATTCGTAGGACTCGAACAATTTCGATATATATATATGTATATGTATATGTGTATGTATATATATGTCGATTAATCGAGAATATTCTTGAATTTTGTCTATCGAGGATTTCGATTTTTTTTGTTGATACAACATTTTCCATTGCGTACAGTTATTTTCGTACACTTGGTGCGTATTGAAGAAGTAAGGGGATAAGGGAGGGGAACATTTACGAGGACAACAAGACGAGACCGACTATCATCTACGATTCAATGACCCGGAGGGGTCTTAAATTTCCATCTCGGCGATATGAAGAGGAGTATTGAACGAAGAAGTGAAGTGAATTGTCCTAAGTTGTTAGAAGAAGAAACATTTTATCATATCATCAAACAAAAGCAACAGAAATAATCGTCTTTCGTAAAGGGGTGTTAATCCTTTTCTGACTAAATAAAACGAAAAATAGAAAACACAATTATTATAACGTTAATTGTTTAATGTTAAATTGACAAAAGCAAAAAACAAAAAGAAAAGTTGATGAACAAAGTGCCGCGAGTACGCGAATGGTGAACGACGAAGTGCCCGTAAGCGAGGTGCACCATCAAAAGTTTCGTTCGTACAATGGACGTTTTCAAAATCGACCAGTCCCTGAGCGCGGGTCTGGGTAGCGCCCCGGCACCGGACACGCTCACTCCGGAAGTGTCCTTTGACGCCGGTAGCGAATTCAATTTAAGCTTCTTCGACGGTCCGGAGGAGAACAGCACTCAAGGATTCAGCGATCCTGGATCGGTTGGGAGTGCTAGTGCTTCCCCACCACCTGGTACACCAGGAACCATTGCCGCTAATCCGCCAAACGCCGCGCTACCCATTGTCCAAGTCCCTTCAGGCATCGTCATTAAGCAAGGTTTGTCTTTTATTTATATTATATATTATTTTTTTGTTTTTCAATAAATTTATATAAAGTTTATAACAAGAATAATAATAATAATAATATCTTGAGAGACCGGTAACCTTTTGCATTTGAACCTACGTCGTTTTATTCGCTCGAATCCATTCTTCTTTTAATCGAACACAACCATCGCCCTTTAAAAAAAGCTTCATACTTATAATATTATATAACACGTAATTACATTATATTTATAGTATCTTTTATATATATATATGTATGCAACTATCTACTTATGCCACACTAGTTCTCGTATCTTTTGTAAGCGCGGAAAACTTGCAACAAGGTATTTTTCCGTAAAAGGTTAACGATAGAAATGTGTGCGAAAGGTCGGAAGCGTATCGCAGCGGCAACCATAATCTTTTTCTATCTCTCTCTCTTTCTCTCTCTTTCTCTCTCTCTTATGGATACGCGGTTGCGGCCGTTTCGTTCTCGCATCGTCGACCCCCCGTTGTGTACCTGCACGATTTCTCTTTCGATCGACCTATCCACCTTCTTTTTATTTCTCTTTCTCTTTCTCTTTCTCTTCTCTTCTTTCATTGTCTACGCGAATGGACAACACGTCGAACTATCTCCTAGAAATTCTTCTTTACTATTCCTAATCTTTATTGTGGTGGTAGTGATAGTACGAGTTATTACCACACACACTCACACAATCTTACTGTCTGTCTGTCTGTTCTGCTTACCTTTATTTCTCTTTATTTCCATTTGCAAATAGATCGTCGACTGACATTTTCTTCTTCGTCTTTGTTTCTTTTATATTTTCTTCTTGTTTCTTTTTTCTTATGTGTTCTACACTCGTTCGAATTAATTACCAAAATGCAACTAATATTCTATACGAATGGTGTATTTATTTTGTTTATTGTTTTCAAAATATTGGATATTGTATGATAGTAGATTAAATGACAAAATTGATAGTAATATATAACATATAACAAATATAACATATACCAAATATAGCATATAGCAAATATAACATATAACATATAGCAAAATATGATAATATCCTTCACAATCTAAAATTAAAAATTCATCAATGATTTTTACAACCATCTCAATCTGCATAGCTAAGTTTCATTCAAATGTCAACTGTCGTAGACGTGTTGTACATCAAACGATTAAATTATACATTCGAAGAAAATGATAGTCATCGAGAAACGATTCGATTGATATTATAGTTTAAAATTCTCGAGGTTTGAATTTCAAGTTTGAACAAGATTTTTTTTTCTTTTTTTTTGGATGGGGGATCAAGGTAACTCTCGGTAACGTAAGATTTTTCGTAACATTTTGTTGTGTTGTATATTTTCGAGTGTAAAAAAAAAATAAAAACACCTTGTTATCTCTCTCTCTCTCTCTATATATATATATATATATATATAGATATATACTTAATGCAAAACGATATGTCTCGAGGTGGATGATCGATGACTTTAAATCGATTCACAAGATCGAACCAAGTCGATATCAACAACATTGGAGAAGTAGTTTTCGTTTCTTCGTTCTTACAACTCGGAACTGAGAATCGTCGTCATAGTCGTCGTAGTCAGAGTTAGAGTCAGAGTCAGAGAGCTCCAGAGTCCCGTCTCGTCTCAGGTCACGATTTTATCGGCGATACCAATCGTAAAAATAAGAATCTCGTGCCTGTGTGTGGAGTTAGAACTTTCCTATTCGATGTGCGACGAAGTACTTACCAACCTATCCTACCATGACTTTAAGCAGAAAAGAGAATTTTACTATCAAGACGAGAAACGACGAACGAAAGAAAAAAAGGAAAAAAAAAGAAAATGCAAAAAGAAAAAGTAAAAGAGAAAGAAAGATAGATAGATAGAGACAGAGAGAGAGAGAGAGAGAACCTTTGAAGAAAGCTTTTGTAGAAAGCTCTCGTCAAAATTCATTCGTTTTTCTTGACATCCATTTAGATTATTGCGAGGCAAACTTCTTGTTTTTTTTTTTATCCCAAGAGGAAAAAGTTTTTTTTTCAAGACGTTACCCTTTGGAATATATATTCCAAAAGAATTAGAAAAAGTTGTTAAAAGTATGTTGAGAAAGAGAGAGAGGAAGAGAGAGAGAGAGAGAGAGAGTTACTAAAGTTTATATGTATGATGAAAACTAATATACCTATGTCTAACTAGTTGCTGACCAAGCACTTTATTCGAAGCCAAGGATTGGCACTGATCCGTTCGTTGGTCATTGACAGTGACAGTGGCAGAACGAGGCCAACCATGTCGATGCCCCCCAACACACAATGCTGCTGTTGCTGCTGGTACGCCTCGTGCGAACGAACCCACTGACTGATCTTTCCTTTAACGCTAATTGTTTATTCCTTTGATTCTTTCACCGTTGTTTCAATGTTTCAAGGTCGTCTTACATTTTTAGAAATTAAAAATTATTCTATTTTCAATTACATATTTTATTAACGACGATCGATTAAATATTTTCTAATTCATTTCTCTATTATAAAATATAATATAGAAAATTATAATAAAATATAAATAAAATTATAAGATAATATAAATAAAATTTTATAATAAAATAACAAAAATAATATTTTTATATTATAACAATATAATATATATATATATATATATTTTATTATATAAATTATATAATATAATATAAATATATAATATATAATATTAATATAATAATATATAATATAAT